GAAGTGGATATCCGTGTTGCGATGGACAGGGATACGGGAAATTATGAAACTTTTCGCCGCTGGTTAGTCGTGCCGGACGATGCGGGTTTGCAAAACCCGGATGCAGAAGAGTTGTTGATGGATGCAACTGACCGCGCTGCTGATGCGGAAGTTGGTGATTATATTGAAGAACAGGTAGAGTCTGTGCCTATAGGGCGCATAGGGGCAATGGCTGCTAAGCAAGTTATTTTGCAAAAAATACGCGAAGCCGAGCGCGAGATGATACTGGCAGACTTTATGGCGCGCGGTGAAAAAATCTTCATGGGCACCGTGAAGCGTTTGGACAAGGGCGATGTCATTGTAGAAAATGGCAAAATAGAAGGACGCTTGCGCCGTTCAGACATGATACCCAAGGAAAACCTGCGCTCAGGTGACCGTGTACGTGCTGTGATTATGCAGGTAGATGCTACGCTGCGTGGCGCGCCGATCTTGCTTTCACGTACGGCACCTGAATTTATGATAGAGCTGTTCCGCAACGAAGTACCTGAGATAGAGCAGGGTTTGTTGGAAATTAAATCGTGCGCTCGTGACCCAGGCTCTCGTGCAAAAATAGCGGTTTATGCTCATGATAGCCGTGTAGATCCGATTGGAACTTGTGTGGGTGTGCGTGGTACACGCGTCACCGCAGTGACCAACGAGTTGGCGGGTGAGCGCGTAGATATCGTGCTCTACAGCGACGACCCTGCACAGTTTGTGATCGGCGCGCTGGCACCTGCCAATGTTTCATCTATCGTGGTAGATGAGGAAAAACACGCAATGGATGTGGTGGTAGATGAAGAAAATCTGGCAATAGCCATAGGGCGTGGTGGGCAAAATGTGCGTTTGGCCTCTGATTTGACAGGCTGGAAAATCAATATTATGGATGCTACAGAGTCTGCTGAAAAGCAAGCACAAGAGACTCAGGGCATACGCGATTTGTTTGTTGATAAACTGGATGTAGATCAGGAGCTGGCAGATATCTTGATAGAGGAAGGCTTTACCAGTCTGGAAGAGGTGGCTTACGTACCGTTGCAAGAAATGCTGGAGATAGAGGCGTTTGATGAGGAGACGGTAACTGAACTGCGAACACGCGCTAAAGACGCTTTGCTGACCATGGAAATAGCCAGAGAGGAATCGGTAGAAGAGGTTTCGCAAGATTTGCGTGATTTGGATGGACTGACTCCTGAGTTGATTGCAAAACTGGCCGCAGCCGAGATACATACCAGAGATGATTTGGCTGACCTAGC